TATTATATTGGCAGTTTGGTCTATATTTCCTATCACTCAACATTTACCTTCACTGATGAGCCATTTAATAGCGAAACAGCTGTCTGAAGGAATTATTGATATCATCTACGGAAGTGTTCTCCCAGTGGTGATAGTTGTGTCCAGGAGGGTCTAGTCGGCTTAAGAGCGCAATGTAATGGTGGAGGTAATGCAACATTTTCTTCAACGACCTAGAGCTCAGTCGCACCCTGGAGTGTTTATCTGTTCTTTTTGGTCTTTTTCTGAAGGATATAAAAGCATAATTGGCTGTTTTCTCGAGCATCATGCGAGCATCCGCTAGATCATAATCTGGTCATTTTCCGAGAATAATTTGCTCACACCTAATCATAATTATGTGGATGGCCTCTCCACTCCCACAGTTCGCGTACAACATTTGCTTTAAGTATTGACGGTAATGTGAAGATCCGTAATCGTATTGTGGTTTGGTGTTGAAATGAAATTGTGCAAAGCATAGTGGAATGGTGTGGGGGATGTGTGTTGCAGTGCCTGTTTCAATGCTAATCGGAATAGTGTTTTTGATGGGTGTTTAGTGGCTCATGCCATGCATAGTGGATTGTCGTGGTGGAGGAGTGTTTTGTGTGCCCGGTGCAATGCTTTGTGGTATATTGTGGTGGATGAGTGTTTAAGTGTCTGATGAAATGCTGAGTATTATGGTAACTGGGTGTCAGTATTATTGTCATGGTGAAGCCTGTCTACGATGATCATTCAAAGCCCCTCATCCGTAGTCGAAACTATGCCATATTTTTCTTCCAATGCTCCTACATCGACTCCGATATGAAAACAGCCGACAGCCGACAAACGTCTGCGACAGCACCGTCCGCACCAGGCAACTTTCACACCGATCTTGAGGATTTCGATCGGTTCGGAAACTACCCCCCCCCCCCCCCCACAAGTGCAGTTTCAGATGCTGCCTGGTCAAGTTTTCGCCTCCTCAGACTTCTGGCCTGTGTTAAATCTGGCCTTGCAAAAATAGTTTACGTTGAGTGTCTTATTATTATTATTAGACACAATCTCATAGCATGTGACAAGCATAGCTAATGCAGGGACAGAATCCCCTGAGACAAGGGCGTTGAGCCAGCCACGGCAATAGTAAGCTAGGAAAACAAAGCAAATATGAATTAGAGCAGAAAATGAATGGAAAATTACAAAGAAAAACGATTAACGGAAGTGAGCACTATCAAAATTCGTGCATCACCCAGGTATTCGAGAATGTTCTTCGATGATAGTTATTGCGTCTAGTTCAGTTGTGATAGTAGATCTTTAAACTGACCAATAGAAGAACAAGTTTTCAGACCGTATGGTAATGATAACCAATGAGAGTAGCCGGAAAACAAAGGGGACTTCAGATACTGGGCTGACTTAACAAGAGGCAGGATGAGCGCGTTACGGGTTGAGCTTGTCGAAAACCAATTGTACTTCATCATGTGTGAAGGGGTTTTATGAAGAAATATTTTATGAACCAGTGTACAGAGATGGTGCTTATGACGAACGGAGAGAGGAGAAGTGTGTGCAAGTCGATAAAGGGCATCCGAAGGAAAACATCGATCCTTGTTGTAAAGAATTTTAAGTATAAATCTATGGTGGACTTCTAATTGGTTCAGAGTTGTGTCAGAAAGGCCACACCAAGCGGTATCGCAATAGTCGAATATAGGGAGAATATAGCACTGATAAAATAATAGTTTACACTGGATGGGCAAATGAGTGCAATGTGGTTGTAGTACCCCTAATGCTGAACTGGTTCGCTTGCATACACAGTTGACATGTGCAGCCCAAGAGAGTTTGCAGTCAAACATCACACCTAGATGTTTGTGCTGAGTAACAACACGGATAGGCATAGTCGAGTCAGGGAAGTATAATGGTTGATCAGGAGGGGATGAAGAAATATACATGGCTTCTGTCTTGTCTAAATTGGGCTGGAGTTTCCACGTTTGCATCCACATGACAGTGCTGTTGATGCGATGCTGCATGGTAAGGAGTAATTGTGCAGGGGAGGAATCAGAACAGATAAGGCCAGTGTCATCCGCATACAAACTAACATCGGGGACAACTGAAGGTAGGTCATTAACGTAAAGCAAGAATAACAAAGGACCCAGAATGGAACCTTGGGGCACTCCAGACGTTACAGGGAGGGGATCAGACAAGAAATAAGACAAGCGAACAGCCTGAGAACGAGCAGACAGATACGAGGATATCCAACGCAAGGCAGCATCCTCCACCCGGAAGGTGACCTCCAACTTGGCAAGTAAGCCACGATGCCAAACGGTGTCGAATGCCTTAGCCAAGTCGAAAAACACCATTCCCACATGCTCCCCACAGTTCCTCTTTGTCGCTATGTCTTGGACAAGTCGAGTCACCTGGTATTGAGTTGAGTCACCACGGCAGAATCCCGACTGAGCTGGTGAGAGAGCCGGAGCGATGTGCAGGTAGAGGGAATCGAATACAATACGCTCACAAAGTTTGGAAACTGTGCGCAGCAGAGAGATGGGGCGGTAGTTTGCCGGGCAAGCACGGGAGCCTTTATTCTTGTAAAGCGGTGTCACGATGGCGGATTTCCAATCCTGTGGGAATGTACCAGTTCGAAATGACATTTAAAAAATAATGGCGAGAGGATAGGCTATTGATGGTGCAAGAGACTGCAGCACTTCATTCGGGATCCCATCTGAGCCGGGAGACTTTCCACATTTCAGGCGCTTCAGATATTTCCGAACTTGAAACGTAGTGACAGTGATTGTACGGAACGGAACAGATATGAAAGGCGACTGGGACAAAGGGGGAATGCGCCACGAAGGATCATCAGGTAGCCCAAATGAGGTGAACTGAGTGTTCAGAACATCAGCTATGCTCTTGGGGGACGTGGCGACCGTACCGTCGGATGCTATCATCGTTTGGGGCATGACACGGCCGGAAGTGTGCCGCTGTGCTCGCACAAACTGAAAGAGTGTAGGTCGATTCGGTGACGTTAGTGATGCTTGGATGGAGCGTATATATTGACGATGTGCTTGCCGAGACAGGTGCTTTACAGCATTCCTGTGTCGGTTATAAGCTGCATGATTTACTGCTGTCGGATATTTTTTGTACACACTGTATAGATCACGCTTGCGTTTTACAGCAGACCTGAGCTCAGCAGTAACCCATGGTGGAGATTGCATGCGGGGTCGTGGAGATGTCACCCCGCGTCTGAGTAAGAATCTGTATGGGAATTTTCGACGTGGAATTCTGGCTCAATTCGGAACCTTTCAGTGAGAAAAAGCCGTGCGTAAATGTGAATTTTGACTTTAGTCCCGACTTATCGTCATAGGATTATGGTAAAATCGAATTGACCGCATATGGGTTGCCTGTTGTCAACATTCAGTTTTCAAGTAGAGCAGCGGGAGCCCGTATCTCTTTCGATTCAGAAAACTTCAGGCGCGCACTGGGAGCATTTCCATCCCAATCACTATAATACTATAATACTGTAAAAGCGCGGTTTCCATGTGAAATAGAATAATTATTATTCTATATCACATGGAAACCACGCGGGTGTGAAAATAACTGCGATAGAGTGCCCTGATCATAGGGTAGCGAGTATTCGCCTGGCATATACCGTAATTGGAGGTTTCACTGCACAATTGGGTATTACATGTAAGTGGATCAATATTGGAGAACAGCACATCAAATCGAATGTACTTGTCGTATTCTGTGTGGCAGCAGCCAGCTGTAGAGAGGTTCAACAGGTGTACATGTACAAGTACCTATTATCCTTTTAGGCTGCGTTTACACGGAGACGAAACGAAACGGAACGGAACGAAACGGAACGAAAACGGGCTGGCCTCGAATCGTTTTCAAACCGTTTACACGAGTACTTGCAAGTACGGCAAATCGTTTTGAACCGTTTACACGAAAACGGAAAACGGGCGATCAGGCTGGAGGTAGCACGTGCTGGCTTTGCGCAAGGGCGGGAAGTAACACGTTAGTTGCAGTTGGTACGTGCTGGTGGTCGCAAAGGTCAGGTATTTCCCGCGAGTTCGGCGATGATTTGTAAGAAAGAGGTTGATCCCCACACTTGAGCTCGCGCTATTCCGCCGACTTTACTTGACACTTGACTGACTCACGACTGCCATCCAGAGCACACTAGAAGACCATCGAACCTTCGACTCGGCAAACCTGCAAGAAAGCACCACTCCCTGCTCAATTATAGCAATAAAAACTGCTTTATGGCAGTTTTCAAAAAAAAGTTATTGTGTTCTAGTCCATGGACCCCGTCTAAAAAGTAAGAAATTAACGAAATGTGACAGCTGAAAATTAAAATTTCACACATAACCTCACAATAATCACAACACTTGAAATGCTGCTTTCAACACTAAACTTGTACTCCACGAACAATTGGCAACATGCATGTATAGGAAAGAGGATCACGAGGAGAAAAGGTCTTCTACATGTAGCTTTTCATTCTGTGTGTGATTATTGTGAGGTTTTGTGTGAAATTTTAATTTTCAGCTATCACATTTCGTTAATTTCTTACTTTTTAGACGGGGTCCATGGAATAGAACACAATAACTTTTTTTAGAAAACTGCCATAAAGCAGTTTTTATTGCTATAATTTCTTCTGTTTTTTCTGTCACCAATCAATGAAATGCCCTATCAATATGTAAATGATGGCCTTCACATCATATCAATACCGTATTATACGCATTGATGTGCAAGCCTTTTCCTGCAGAAAATGGGACTAGCATATTCTTCTGCGGGGATACATGTGAGTAGTGGTGGAACGTGGTGATACCTTTTTTATACGGAGGTCATTCTGTGCATTTTGCTGTAGCAGAATTTCATGACTCTGTCATAAAATTGTCTTGACTTCCAGATATTTCAGATTTCCCCACCCTCGATCAGATTTATTTGAGAAATGTAACCAGGTGCGTGTCGCAGATGTTTTTGTTGATTCTGTGTTTATAATGGTTTATAATCATGGGTTAGCGTGATAAGGTCATCCTGCACCATATTGCACTGAAATCGTAACCCTGTTGATGTCGATACAACTTTTGGAAGTAGTTCAATGACTTCGAACTGTTAGTCCACGATTTTCTAAAACAACACAGCAAATGAGGAACAATAAACATGTATTAAAATGTAAACAAATACATTGCTGAGTCCGACACCTCGTTCCAACAACTACACTGATCCTGAGGATAAAAAGGGCAAGGCTATGGTTGGAGGTACTGAGAGATAAACAAGGCACTCCATAATAATAGAATCGTAGACATTTTTTGGTCAGTATGAATGATATCCAGTCGAACCTCTTTAGGACGAACACCAAGGGACCGATGGTATTTATTCTGTGAGTTTGTCTTAACCTATTTTATAACCAGTGAATACAATTATTTCTCCAATAGACATACGAATAGATTTCTTCTACAGCGAAAGATTCTAAGCCACACCAACTCATTGACTCGTCTCGTATGAAACAAATGAGTCACTAGAGAGGTTCTGCAAAACGAAAATGCGTACAAACAGTCGTTCCACGTCCTGAAGTGCGAAACTTCGCACGAACTTTCGCAACTTTGGACGCGAAACTTGCAGGGAACGCGAAATGAACAGTCGTACACACTTTCGTGAGATCGGGTCATGGTGTACGTGCACTTGGCCCGCGCAAACTACGAAAACGTGCAGAACGCAAAGTTTGTGCAAAAATTCGTACACACTTTCGCAATGACTGTCGCGAAACTTCGTTCGAATTTTCGTTTTGCAGAACCTCTCTACTGAACGTTTCTTTAGCTGAAAACAGCAACAGAGAAAGTACGATACATGTACAGCACATTCTTGCAGGTACTACAAACAGATTGCAGATCGTAATTCTTGTCTTGGCGGCACGAAACTTCATTTGGGGCAGTGCAATCTCGGTGGAACTCGCAAATAATAAATCAAACAGCCCAGACTCGAGTAAACAAATCTAATCATACAAGTTTACTGAACCTCTCCACAATGGAGATTTTCCCTGATATGCGAATTTATTTTGTAAACTCGGTCAATGGGTCCTTGAACCTTTCCCTCCAGATTGGGAACTGCCAACGATAGTATGCCACTGACCAGTGCCTTACTTGTAACGTACCAATGTACAATGAATATGAGTATTTCGACAACACATCTAACATAAGCCTTACCGTCAAGAAGGTGAACTCGCGTTCTTCGCACACTGTAGACAAGGGCAAAGAGATAAAAATGGATCTAAACCCGAATAAAATCAGCACACGTTTCCGTAAATGAAAGGATGAGCATGAAGCAAATGAATCGAAGGAAACCGGTCAACTCAGAGATCACCTGTCATCGAGTATTCCGTAAAAGGGGGCCTCGGCAGCGGAAAAGCTAAATTTAGAAAAGAGATCCTGCCAGCTTTCCCATTATTTATTGCATTCCGCCCAAAATGAGCAAACTTTTCGTAAATGAAAGAGTCAACACAAGCAAAAGAATCAAAGGTAACTGGTCAACTCACCTGTCGATATTGAGTAATATTCCGCGAAAGGAGGTCTCAGCAGCGCCGAAACGAAATAAGCCAGGCCAGGATCTAGGAGACGAAATATCCGAAACAGCTCATACAAGAAGCAGTTCCAAAGGAGGAAGTTCCTCGCGCATGCACATCCGAACAATGTCTGCCGTGCACGTGCACAGCACGCGGCTACCAACCGTTGGTAGATCTATACCGAGCACCTTACGTAGAGACTTACGTAGCCTAAGTGAAATACTGAGCACCTAACGTAGAAACTTACGTAGCATAGCGGTGTCGTTTTTCTTGCCATGTGAACACAATAATAGAAAAGCTGACAGGATCGCTTTTCTAAATACACAGTGTTTGGGGGAATTCACCCCTCATCAGTTGCGCTTGAGTACCTCAAACTTGAGGATATTAATTTTATCTCATTTTCTCTTCTTTCTTTTCCTATTGAGTTATAAGTATTCAATAGTCTTTGACATTCTCCACAATCTCTCTTTGAGTGACAACCGACAAGTTGGAGTTATAATTTAACTCCAATTTGTGAACTTAGAACTTAATGTATGCTTTTGCGACGTGTGCACTTAGGAACAGGTTTTCGTGTGGATTGTGCGCGAATACGATACAAGCAATGAAAAGGATCAAGTGTGATCATCGATTTGGAATTCTGGCTAGGTCTGTACGGGCATAGTTCAATTAAACTTTTGGGAAACATATTTCTCCTTTGCGGTTAGTTTTGGTCTCATTCTCTTTGTGCTGTGCAGATGAGCCCAAAAAGAACGAGACCAATCCGTCATCGCATTAATTCGGATGGAGAGGCAAGAAATGAAATTAAAAACAAAGGACCATAAGTTCACAAGTTATCCGTTTCGCCCAACACTATTGACTACAAGCAGGATACTGTTGAGTTAAAATGTGCAAAAATTAGCACAAAACTGACTGATGTGATACCGACATTCAACGACCTGTTGCTTAGCTGCATCACGTCTGGAATGCGCAATCCACCAGCATTCCACTTTGGAATGTTCTAAGTTATGAAGTAACGTAAGAAAGGAGACTGTGAGCGCCCTCTAGACGAAAATTAGCTAAACATCACAGCGAACTGCACAAGTTAGAATGTCACCTATGACAAGTTGATGACCAAGGGACACGACGGCCAAGGCTCGCCTCGAAGACACGAAACAACGAACACCCAACTTTGGAGCATGTAAAATTTTGGGGTTTTAAAAGGAAATCTTGCAAATAACGCTCTGAGATCTTTGGGTGAGAGACGTGGGTGATGACTCTTCACGATGTTATGTAAAGATTGTTCAAGAAAGTGGAGCTCAGGAAATGGTGTCAACATTAGCTGATTTCTCGGCTGATGTAGGCATAAATCTAAAGAACTTGCAATCAAACAACTTTCTATAGCCTTCCGCTACATAATCTGCAGTATTGAGAACAACTGTTCCGAGGTTCTTATCGGTACTGTATACGGTTGATAAGACAGCGTAAAGTATGCTTCTCATCTGCTGAAAAGGTATCACGGACGGTGAAGAGAGTATGCAGCGGGTACACCTTGTGAAGACCAGATAGCAACGAGAGTCAGTGTCGCTCCTTGATTTACAGAAGCGCCGAGGACGGTTGTCTCCTAACAATCTAATTCGCAAGCCCGCGCTGGGGACAACATTGTGAAGAAGAGATTGGTGCGACTTGAGCGAAACTTGTGGAATTGTATGTTGCTCCCTGCGTAGGAGCTCGCGCTTTCCTGGCGACTTGAATTCTCACTTGATGTGACGTTGGACACTACACCCTTAGTTTCACCTTAGTTTTCACCTATAAAAACCTTTTTTGCCTAGTGATCAACAATATTCATCAGGATCGCTTGAAGGAGGACAGTGATAATCAGCTCAGATACGAAAAACTCCGCGATAGAGATTGAGACATTCCAAGACAGTTTTGAATACTTCTTTCGAAGTAAATGTGATATTGTATGACCCGGAACTAGTATGGAAAATTTCAGCCTAACTCTGCTCACCAAAGTGCCCTGGAATCCTTACCGCAGGCCGATTCAGGCTGTGAATATAATTTTTTGTCATGATTTATCGACGAATGATTATACTGAAAGTGACTCTGGCAGAACCCGATGTAAAGTTTTCAACATTCAGTTTTCTAGTGCTGCAGCGGAATTTCATCTTTTTTTAATGCAGAGAACTTCAGCGGGCACAGGAAGGCTTTCCATTCCATTCACGATATGGCATTCTATATAAAAAAATGGAAGTGAAGGTAACTGCGAAAGGTTGCCCTAGTCACTGGATCGCGAGTATCGCAGTGGAGCTGTGTGCCTGGCGGAAACTGCGACTGAAGGCTAGAGTCAAGAGATACATATTTTGTGTAAGTGCATCAACATTGGAGAACCTTTCACCCAGTCAACTGTACCAGACATCCATTACGAATGTTGTTCTGCGGACAGCTCTAGAGATATTTACTGGATGTGTGCAACATCAGTTTGATTGGAATTACCCGTGGAAAGAGGATTTTCACCTCCTGAATAATTCGCCCACACCAGCATCAACTGATCCCACGCCCTGCTTTCGCTTCGAAATTATTTGTGAACACATGAGTAAAGATTCCGAAAAGCAGATCGATTTCGTATATTTCCGACGGTTATTGCTTAGTGTGTTTTTTATTTTCTTAAATTCCACTTCTGTGATGGTAGGAAAATTAGCATTTGAGTTCTTTATCACGTTTCACATTTGCACCAATTGCTCACCGCTCATAACTTCTGTTGTGTGCTATATCCTTAATATCTTAGCCAACTGTCACTCATTCTTTCCAACTGACAGCTCACATTAAAAATGGTGCAAATTCCGATAATTTTTGGCTGAGCTCAGCTGATGAGCCCACAAAGAACGAGACCATTCAGTCAGCAGATTTATTTGCAATTTATCAATGCTGTGGTGAGCCAATTGCTTCGACAATCCAGAAGTGGGCATCACGACAGCTTCAAGCTACATGTACTTGTAACCTGTTACTATAGTTTCCGTTTCTCCTTACACTACGTACTGGCTACATCTTGTCGTGAGGAGCAATTTTGTGCTAGTAGTAGTAGCAGTAATTGTAGTACATGTAGTAACAGACCTGCTGCACCATCTGAGTACATTTAAACTCTCCGAAAATCTGGACACATCTGTTTCTGCCTGGCATAGATAGCACCGTCACTGCTGTTATTGACAAACATTCACCAGGTGTATCCAGGAAACGAAAGAACATACCTGCATGTCCATAGTTGACAGGTGAACTTGTTGGTATTGTCCATGAGCGAAATCGTCTGCATCAGCGCTTGATCCGAGACTCAGGAAATGACGACTGGAGGCAGCATCACCGCATTGCCCGTGCACAAGCTCGCCGACTCGACAAACACCTCAAAATGAATTCTGTGTTCGGAAATGTGCTGCTTCTGACCAGCGCAAGCTGTGGCAAGTCAGGAACACGGTCACCGGTACGCGGGCACCTAAACTACAACCAAAGGTGTCAGTTGAGGAAGTAAACAAATTCTTGGGGACATTGTTGTTCATGATGTAAGAAGACTATCGCAGTTAATGGCTCCCGAGGTCCATCATACACCAGACGCTTTTATGCGTTTCCGGTCCGTCACTATTAGTGATGTGTGCAAGCTCCTAGAAAGTGTGAACCTCCATAAAGCAACAGGTAGTGATGCAATCCCAGGCATTGTGCTGCGTGACTGTGCACATGAACTGGTGCCTTCATTGACTTTGATCTTCAACAGATCACTAGCCACTGCGTGCGTTCCACCAATGTTCAAGCATTCTTACGTCAGTGCCCTTTTAACCCTTTACCGGCAAGATACTTTTGTATATGAAATCCATAAAATTTAAAAGGATGCCAATAACTCACAACGAGGCCACCTTTTGTATGTGCAAATTATGTTTAAAGGAGGTGATCCAACTGGCTGTGGTAATTATAGACCAGTGCCCCTCTTGCCCACATTTTCACGATTGCACCTGCATCGCTCCGTCCAGTTTGTGCTGATCTCTCTCGCATTCGTTCACGATGTGGCGGCCGACGAATCAAGATCACAGAAGAGATCGTCGAGAAGTAAGTTGATCGATATAAACAACCGCCCTTGAGGTCGACTTTCAGGCGACAACCTGGCTGGAAAACTGAAGCGCAGAAAGGGTGAATACGGTGCGTGAATGGTGCGGAGTCCTCGCCGCCTCCTCGGAGCCGCGATCGCCATCGATGCGTCACAAGATCGCCAGTCTCCGGGGCCAGTGGATTCGTGAAACAGGCAGGGAAGAGCACGCATGGTCCGATGCAGCTGACTGTGTGACAGTCATGTCGACACAGATCAGACTCAGTACTAGTTCTACGCGCGCGGCACACGGTGATGAGAAGTGATTTTTTATGCGTGGTGGTTTACTTGTTCGCCTCATTTGAAAGTCTCGTGGGAGCGTCAGGCGAAAAAACCTACAGCCACCATTCTGGCAATCGTACTGCACGAGGAGGAGGCGAAGTCGATCGTCTAAATCGTGCCTATGGAGTGAAAAAATCAAGGAAGCGCAGTGTAGCTTGGAGGAGATGAAAAGAATGTCGATGTTTTGCAGGTTGACGCACTTGAAGAAGCGCCCTGAGACACCAGCAGAGATGGAAACTAGAAGGTCAGGCCAAGAAACGACACAGTAGTTATCTATCTATCGTCTCTTGGTCGATTTTTTAGTACAGGTGCTCCTTTGGACATAGGCTTGAGTTTTGAAGCGAAGCGCACATTTTAATAAGTCGGACCAAGTACATTGTACATGTGCGTAGCTAGTGACGTACTTGGGCGGCCGGCCTTAGCGTCTTCTGCAAAATACCCCCCAGCCCAATCCATTGTGGCGCGTCCTTGTCCATTCGGAGAATGTGACAGATTAGCTGTCGCCTCCTTCTGTCGACAATGTCAGGCAGTGGCTCAGTGTTGCACCTCTCATTCTTCATCATTTGGGAGAACTAGACCTGGTCTAGTGAGAAGGCATTCTACTGCCTGTAATTCTGGTGAAGTAAAATAAAGTAACAACAACAACAACTCATAGTGTCATAAACCTGGTCATTTGATATGTTGGCTGACA